GTTAACGAGAGGCCCCAGCGTCAATTACAGCCGCCCCCAGTCCAGCCCGGCTGGGCACAGAGAATCCACAGGAAAAATAATAACGCGCACGGAGTCTTGAGATGAATCATCGCGGAGGAAGCAGCTGTGTTGATGAAATTTTAAAGCCAACATGAGAAAGAAAATACGAACAGCAATACAGTAATTGAGTCTGTGAACATGCTGGCACATTTTTAATTAAAGCTATTTTGGAGTTAAATAGAGGCCATGGGTGGGGGGGAGGTGGGACCGTGGGGAGTGGGAATCCGGGGAGGCTCCCTATCCTCCCACCCAAACCCCAAAGCCACGTCACCTTATGATATTCCAGAGAAGAGCACGCCTCTGCCCTGCTTTTCACCAACAGGAAGAGTCCCTGCTTTGCAAAGAGGTGGGGGTTTCTGTACAACTTGATTTCCCTGACAAGATTTAAATGCCAGAATCACAGGATCTCACGAGCCAGAGTCCGTGAGGCTTAGGACAGCATCTCATTCAAGGCTGCGATCTCTTTCTTCAAGATTCCCGGCTAGGCGCGGTGGCTCACGCCTGTAATCCCAGCACTTTAGGAGGTCGAGGTGGGCGAATCACGAGGTCAGGAGATCGAGACCATCCTGGCCAACATGGTGAAACCCCGTCTCTACTAAAAATACAAAAAATTAGCTGGGCATGATGGTGGGCACCTGTTGTCCCAGCTACCGGGAGGCTGAGCCAGGAGAATGGCGTGAACCCAGCAGGTGGAGCTTGTGGTGAGCCGAGATTGCACCACTGCACTCCAGCCTGGGCAACAGAGCGAGACTCCGTCTCAAAAAAAAAAAAAAAAAGATTTCCAAACATGGTCACCCAGCCATCTCTTGGTGACCTCCAAAGATGGTAACCTCACTACCTGCTGAAGCCCTCTCTTGATTAAGTGGGCCTTCCTTATTGTGAGCAAGAAGAGCCTCCCCTCTTGGCCATGGAGACTGGACAGGGATCAGCCACAGGATCCCCAAGGCACATCCACCCAGTTCAACCATGCTGAGCACTGGAGACACAGATGTGGCCACTCAGGCCCTGCAGCCCTGTCCTGGAAAAGATGACAGTCCCACAGGGGTGGGGACCAGGATCCACAAGGATAGGTCATGACACCCTATCAGCAAAGGTGGGCAGCCCAGGGACTGAGAGAGCTCAGGGCAAGCACCAGGCCTCCTATGGGTAGTCAGGGAGGGCGGCAGACAGGAGGCCAGGAGAACAGAGACTAAGTAAACCCTATCTTCCTGGTGCCTCCCTGAGAACGGGGCCACCACTGTCCTCGCGGGCAGGGCCCTGCCATAAGCTCTCTTCACCTCCCCTATCCTCCAGGGGCCTCTCTGTGCATGTGGGTCCTGCAGGCTGGACAAGGTGGTGGTCAAGCAGGAACAAGGGTGAGACTGGCCTGCCAGCTCCCTGAGGGCAGGACTCTGCCTGGCCAGCCCTGCATCCCCAGGGCCACGTACATAGTAGGTGGTCAGTTACACACTGAGTGAATGAGTGCCCACTTCTCAGTCGAGCAGAGACCTGGGAGAGAAAGTGGCCTAAGGATCCCCATAAAGCTGGTGCCACTGAAGCTGCCCCAGGAATCCAAAGGCAGGCTTGGGACCCACTGCTGCCCCTCCCTCACCCTGCCTCTCTGTCTCTCTCTCCTGCATGGCTCAGCACAGCAGTGCCCTCCTCCGTGGCCAGCAGGAACCCTGCCCATGATCCCAGCTCCTCCAGTTCCTCCTTTTTTCTTTTTTGAGGTGGAGTCTCACTGTTTCCCAGGCTGGAGTGCAATGGCGCAATCTCGGCTCACTGCAACCTCTGCCTCCCCGGTTCAAGCGATTCTCCTGCCTCAGCCTCCCAAGTAACTGGGATTACAGGCATGTGACACCATGCAAGGATAATTTTTGTATTTTTAGTAGAGACGGGGTTTCACTGTGTTGCCCAGGCTGGTCTCAAATTTCTGACCTCAAGCGATCTGCCCACCTTAACCTCCCAAAGTGCTGGCTTTACAGGTGTGAGCCACCACACCCCGCCGTGGCTCCCCTGGTTCTGCTGATGCCATGGGCTCTGGGGATGCCACCAGTTCCTGGAGCCTCAGTTATGAGGTTCAGGGGCCTCCACTGCAGCATGGGGACAGGGTGAGGAAACCATGCAAGCACCAGGGGCCAAGGCCCCAGCAGCATACATCTGCCCTCTTTCAGGGTGCTGGGTATGGCCCTGACACTTGCTGGGAGCCCCGGGGCAAGACCTTTGCCTGCTGCAGAGTCCATGCTGAGAAAGCAGCTAGGGATGGGCCCTGGGTGCCCTCCTGCCACACCACACAGAGATACAAGCTCCTTCAGCCACCACTCCAGCAGCATGGCTTAACCGGGCATCATTTGGGGAGAAAGCAAATTTCTGCCACGGAAACGAAACATTTTGCTCCCTTTTCACACTGATGATCTCTGAGTTCCGCACCCTGGTTGTATGTAACAACAAGCAGACAACAGCAGGTTTCTGCCCCTAAATTCCAGTCCAATTGCCTGCAGCCAGCAAGCCTGCGTTCAGGCAAGCGCCAGCAGCTCCCCAGTTCTCAGGATCTGATGTTGGTGCCCTGCAGGCCTGGCCCACAGATGAGGATGTGAACAGAGCCCTGCTGCTACCCCCAGGGAGCAGGTGGCAGCAGGCCTGGGGAGGGAGAGAGCCCTGGGCAGAGCCAGCCACTCCATCCTTGGGGCTCAAGGCTGAAGCTGCCATCCACCTCCACCTGTGCACAAGTGGGTGCAGGGCAGGTGGACACAACTTATGGTGGAGGGCCCCCTGTGAGACCAGGAGCACCCCAGGAAGGAAGGCAGAAAGAAGGGCTGCTCCTCCACAGCCCACTTGGGTTCCGGTTTTCTGCAAGTACACGGTCAGGAACTGGGGTGTATTTTTCCAGTGGGACACCGTGGCCTGCAGGGGCCAAGGGGTCAGGCACACTCCTGTCCTTGTGGAAACAGGACCATGAGCTGCTCTCTGGTTGGACTGCGGAACACACTTCTCATAGAAATAACACTGCAGGGCCAGGCGTAGTGGTTCACGCCTGTAATCCCAGCACTTTGGGAGGCCGAGGCGGGAGAATCACCTGAGGTCGGGAGTTCGAGACCAGCCTGACCAACATGGTGAACTAAAAATACAAAATTAGCTGGGCATGGTGGCGCATGCCTGTAATCCCAGCTACTCGGGAGGCTGAGGCAGGAGAATCACTTGAACCTGGGAGACAGAGGTTGCGGTGAGCTGAGATCACACCATTGTACTCCAGCCTGAGCAACAAGAGCGAAATTCTGTCTCAAAAAAAAAAAAGAAAGAAAGAAAAAGAAAGAAAGAAAGAACACTGCAAACAGCATCCCAAATTCAGAGCTGGAGCTTCCGACCCACTTCTCCACAGGAACAATGAGACAAAGAAACTCCAGATCAGGGCAGACGCGTGAGGTCACTGACCCGGGGGCCTGAGCTTCAGCCACCAGAGCATGGTCCTGGCCCTCACTCTGCAGAGCAGTAGCCCCCTGCCACCACCCAGAGGCAGGACTCCCTCTCCTACACACTGCATGGGGACTTTCTCCAAAGCAAAGGTCCCTGAGCCACGACCTTCTCCTGGTGTCACTTCTGCCTGCAGCGCCCGCACACCCTCCTTAGCAACCACAATGGCCCCACCAGGCCTGCAATGGAAGGCTTGCGTCTAGGGAGCCCTGCTCCACAGACAGGTACAACCCCAGCCCCTCCTGCCCTCACCAGCCCTGGGAAGCCAGCCCGGCCTGTGGCCAAAGCCCTTCGCCACAGGGCACCTGACAGCAAGGCATGAAATTACAAAAGCCAGCCTTGCCATTCAGAGCTTGGCTATGCACTTGCACGTGTATGTTGGGGTAGGGGGGCGGGTGGGAGCGGGGTGGAGGAGAGTTCGCAAGAGGCCAAATGGGGAACATGTACCCTGCTAAGTCCCACCAGGCCCTGGGAACCTACCCCACGGCCCACGCAGTGGGGGCCTGAAGGGATGACCTCAGTGGGAGCTATGCTCCCTGCAGGGCCCGTGAGCCTCCCAGCAGCTGCCCAGTGGGCAGAGAGGGTGCCATGGAATTCCTGAGCTGGGCACTGGGCACCAAGCCTGGCTGGTCACCTAGCAACGGGGCCAGGCAGCTGAGCCATCCCTGTGGTTGGTTCCCAGAGAAACGCTTTGGGTATCCCAGGCTGACCGCTCATGGCCCAGTGGGAAGAGCAGGAAGAGGGAGGCTGGGATGAAGCCAGGGATGCGCAGGAGGGCTTGAAGGCTGGGGGAGTGAGCAGCTTGAGGGGCCGCCAAGCCAGCTCGCCCCCAACACCCAATCGAGACTGTCCACAGCCTCCTCTCGGCAGCCCCCGTGCCTGCCCCACCTGCAGCAGGGAAAGCCCTTGTCCTGGCAGTCACACGTCCCCTCCAAGCTCCAGCCACACTCAAGAGGCACAGACCCTCATCCAACCCCACCTACCCCCTGCAGCCGACCCCTCCCACACTGTGCCGCTGCTGCCCAGCTCTGCACAGGGTAGCAGCCTCATCTGTCTGTGGGTGAGGCCGGGCCCAGGAGGGAGGAGGGGACCCCAGCCCAGGGAGGAAGCGGCCAGTAAGTCCAGCATGGCAGAGGCGGGGAGGCTTCCATGTAAGTCTGCCCCATCTCCTGCCTGGATCTGCCCGTCTGCCAGAGGAGTGAAGCAGCCCATGTCTTCACCAACTGGGTGTTGTCCACCCTCTCAGACCCTGGGCCAGCCCCGAGGAGCTCGCATACCGGGCAGTCAGCATGGAGGGCTGGGCGGAGGGAAGCCCAGAGGCGTGGGAGCCAGGGTTAGGTCCCTGGCCCCACTTTCCAGGAGGTGACGGGTGGCAGTGGGAGCAGGTCGGGGGAGGGCATGGGTCCCAAGGGGAAGGGTGCCCTGGGTGAGCTGGAGGGGTGGGCGCTGGGTCGCAGTCCTCAAGGCAGCGCCACCCACAGCCGGCCTACCTGTGCGAGGAGCTTGTCACCCTCCAGCAGCCTCACTTTGCTCTCCAGTTGCCTGATGTAGGTGGATGAGGGATCTGGAAGGACACAAGAGGAAGGGGGACATTAGCCTCCAGCAGACTCCGTCCCCAGTGCAACCACAATGGCCCCACGAGGCCTGCAATGGAAGGCCTGCGTCTAGGGAGCCCTACTCCACAGACAGGTGAGACCCCAGCCCCTCCTGCCCTCACCAGCCCTGGGAAGCCAGCATGGCCTGTGGCCAAAGCCCTTCGCCACAGGGCACCTGAAGCAAGGCATGAAATTACAAAAGCCAACTGGCCTCACGCCTGGCATGGAAAGTTTGGGTCTGAGGAGTCCCACCCCACAGCCAGGTGAGACCCCAGCACCCCCTGCCCTCATCCGCCCTCCGGAAACAGCATGGCCTATGGCCAAAGCCTTCCCGCCATAGAGCACCTGACACCAAGGCATGACACACAGAGGCCAGCCTTGCAGGACCCACCCGCCACCCTCACTGTGGGCCTCTGAGCTATTGTCAGGACCTTCAGGACCTGTGGAAAGGTGAGGGGCGGGTGGCCTCGCCAGCCTGCGCTGGAGCAAGTCCTTCAGCTTCCAAGATGCTGCAGGCTCAAACGGAGCTCTCCTAAACACAGCCAGGTCACAGCCCACCCCAGGGTCGGGGTCCGGAGAGCCCCCTCCCCTACACAGTGGGGAAACAGCCTCCTGAACTTGCCAAGCCAGCATCTGGGATCCTTCACCTGATCACCCAGGAACTTCTCACAGGAGACGCGTGCCTGCAGCATATGCTGCAGGTGAGCAGCCACCTTCCCCATACGACAGTCAGGAACCCCATGGAACCCCCCGGTCACGTGTCCCCAGTTTCTGACCTCAGGCTAAGGGAGCCCAATCTGTGCAGACCACTGGTGCAGGTGAAATTCACCCACCCTCACCACTGACCCTGCTTTCCAGTCACATCAGGAAAACACAAAAATATCCCATCCCCACCCCCACACCCAACCATCCCACACCCCTGGTCCTGCCTCCCCCCAGGCTGGGAGTCAGCTCAGCCCCCAGGATGCCCAGAGCAAACCCTCAGGGCAGAGGGCTGGGGGAAGGGAGGAGAGGCAGGAACGGGATGCAGGCAGAACACCGGCCGGGTCACCCAGCGACAGCCGGTTTGGAAAAGAGGCAAGGGGGTGGCAAGGCTGTCCCAAGCACCCCTGTGGGCCACGAAGCCACCTGGTAAGGGATGGGCTATTAACACCTCTCCCCGGAGATCACCTGGCCCAGATAGATGCCAGCCCAGATGCCATCCACCCCGACAGCTGTCCACCCACCAGCCCACCCGACAGCAGGACGCAGGGTCTTCCCAGGTTCATGCCGCTGACCCTCGACTGCAGAAGCAGAGACATCAGCCCCTTTGACCACACACAGCCAGCTGGCTAGTCCCCATCACCACCTCGGGGCTGGGGATGGACTCTACAGGCTGTTAACATGCCTGGGGGTGCCGGGGCTTGGGTGCAGCTGGGGACAAGCCAGGACCGCCATGCCAACCACACGACCAATGAAGCATCTGTCCACCCCCAGCACGCCAATAACAGGATGCCTGGGAGCCCCCTACTCAGCCCTGGACCAGGCCCAGGGCCCAGCAGAGCCACTGGCCCAGCCACAGGCAGGAGCAGGTACTGGAGCCCCGCCCGGACACACTCACTGCTGGGGAACACTGCAAACCAGCCTCCCCTCCTCCTGCAGCCCAGTCACCTCCCAGGAATGTGGGGCCTTCTAGAGAGGAGAGAAGGGCGGCTCCCCATCCAGGCCCAGCCTCCCCGCCCTGCCAGACAGGCCACCCCTGCCCTCAGGATGACCTCAGGCCCTCACACCTCACCAGCCCTGATCCCTCCCTCCCTGGCCTCAGTTTACTCATCACTCTGTCAATCCTGAAAAGCAGCTCCCATGCCCACCCCAAGCAAAGAGGTGTGATGGCAAGAGGCCTCAGCATTCAGGCTGTGCTGCGTCCCTCTGAGCACGGGGAGATGGGGTGCAGCCTAGGCTCCCCAAACCTTCATGTCCTATACCCCACTAACAGGAGGGCTCCCTGGAACACAGTCCCGGGAAGCAGTGACCAAGTAAACTGCAGAGACCCTTCCAGCTCCCTCACTCTGACAGAGCTAGGACAAGAACGCTCCAACGACTACAGACCCACGTGTGGTCTCCTTCCGGGTGCAGTCGGGTGGGGGGAGCCCACTGTCCCATATGGGACACGTGGTGCCCCCTGCATCTAGTGCCTTGCAAAGGACAAGCAGCCACCATCCTCATTTTCCAGGTGCAGAGGCCACAAGGAACAAAGTGTTCCCACCACCAGCAGGTGAGCCTTCCAGCCCCTCTCGCCACCACCCAGGCCCACCCCACAGGTCAGTCTTTGGGACCCAGTGTTTCTGGCCACCTTGGGCAGAGCTGACAGCCTCAGCCTTGGAAAGAAGCTGGCAGAGACTCAGAAAGAAGACGCCATTCCCAGTCACACCGCTCTCCCGAAGGCTCTCTGCAGTGCAATCCTCAGCACAGCCACAGGGCCCCTGCTCACTACAGCACTCCCATGGGACAGTGCTCCTGGGGGAAGCCCTGAGCCAGAGGGAGGACCCAGCCACTGTGTGTGACCAACAGCCCAAGACGGGCACTAACTTGTCCTCTGCCCTTCACTGCCACAGAACCATTCAGGAGGTGGGTGCACTTTCAGCCGCCCGCCTCCTGCTGCTGGTTCCCACAGGGTGAGCAAGGAGCTAGCTCCCAGCACTTCCCTCTCGGTGAGCCCACAATCGGAGGAGGGGTGGGCTGAAATCCGAGTCCGCAGCTGCCCCGTCAGCCTCAGCACCCTCACTGGGTGCCCCTGCTCCAGTCTGAGCAGTCAGCCCCCTCAGATACAACTGGGGTTTCACACCCACCTCCCAGGAAGGGTTAAAGACAGTGATCAGGCTGGCAGGTGGCATCAGGAGAAGGGACACAGACAGGCCATCCCACAGGTCACCAACAACGCCCTGCCTGCCCATAGCCAGCACCTCACCTCAGGGCCCACAGGCCACCGTCCCCCACATTGGGCTACCTGTAGGCACAGACAGGTGGCCACACACCCATGGCCCCAGACCAAGGGGCTGCCCCTGACAAACCCATCTGTTCAGGTTTCCCCCAAAGCCCAGGCAGCTATGCAGAACAACATACACTGCAGACCGCCGGGCTTTGTTGGGTTTTTCTTTTAAATTTCAAAATAACAATATAACAGTCTTAAAACAGATTTTAGACCATCCAGTAATTCCAATGGAATCTATCCTAAAGAATTAATTCCAGGCTGGGTGTGGTGGCTCATGCCTGTAATCCCAGCACTTTGGGAGGCCGAGGCAGGTGGATCACCTGAGGTCAGGAGTTCAAGACCAGCTTGATCAACATGGTGAAACCCCCATCTCTAATAAAAATATAAAATTGGCTGGGCATGACAGCAGGCGCCTGTAATCCCAGCTACTCAGGAGGCTGAGGCAGGAGAATCACTTGAACCCGGGAGGCAGAGGTTGCAGTGAGCTGAGATCGCACAACTGCACTCCAGCCTGGGTGACAGAGCGAGACTCCATCTCAAAAAAAAATTAATTCTAATTATGAAGAAAGCAGACTGTTAGAGTGGCCAAAACTGGAAATAACTATTTGTCCAACAACAGCTGAGGGTTCTACCCTGTCATCATTACAATGATGTTTAGAAAGAGTTTGTCTCCTAAACAATATGGAAAAACACTTAAAATGCCAGTGGAAAGAACTGGACACAAAATGACATGCACAATGGCTGCGACATTTAAAAATATCCACGCGTTGACGTGAGTTCAGGAAGGAAGTCCACAGAAATCCTGACTCTGCGGCTGCTCAGTTGAGGGAACCAGTGGGTTTTTATTTATTCACATCGTTTATTGTTAATTTTCAAATAATCGACTTCTAATCTAGTTCTGAAATCCTTCTTTCAGAAAAAAAGAATGGCCAGGTGCGGTGGCTCATGCCTGTAATCCCAGCACTTTGGGAGGCCGAGGCGGGCAGATCACCTGAGGTCAGGAGTTCAAAACCAGCCTGGCCAACATGGTGAAATCCCGTCTCTACTAAAAATATAAAAATTATCTGAGAATGGTGGTGGGCACCTGTAATGTCAGCTACTCGGAGGTTGAAGCAGAAGAATTGCTTGAACCCAGGAAGCAGAGGTTGCAGTGAGCCGACTGCGCCACTGTACTCCAGATGGGCGACAGAGCGAGACTCTGTCTTTAAAACAAAAAAAAAAGAGAACAGATTAAACTCTTGCACTTTCACATTACATGCATGGCCACCCACTGAAGCACCTGACATTTTAAACCCAGCACCCTGACCCTCTCCCACACTCAGCTCCCTGGAAGAGCTCTCCAGGCTGCCAGGAGCCAGTGAGCCAGGCATCAGTCACCCTTGGGTCTGCAGACAGGAAGAACAAGAGTGATCCGGGCACTCCCAGTGGGGGCTGGAGAGCAGAAGACCCCGGGAAGGGTCGGTTCCTGGGGAGGACTATCCTTCCCGGCAGCCTCAAAACTCGTGATCCCACTGCGTGCCAAGCCCCAGCCTCTTGGAGATGAGCATGTAATTAAATTAATCCCAGGGTTTACAGTAATGAGCGCTGGAGCCACAGGGGAGGGGACATCACTTCGCAGCGTGGCTGCCTGAGGGCAAAATGAGGGAGGTGACCCTGGGCTGGCCTGGCCAAGGGGTCCCCTTGGGTGCTCCCCTAAGCCCTCTGGGGGCCATCGGACCGATTCTGGGGGATTCCCTATCCAGCTGCCAACCGGGGAGGAGGGTGTCTCTCTACAATGTTCTTGTGTCCAGGAGCCAGACCTGAGCCCTCCTCACCCCGCCCCCTTCCTGGATCCCTTGCTCCCATGAGGAGGAGGTGGGGGGAAGCTGTGCAGCACGGTAGGCGGGAGTCACACAGCTGCAGGTCTGCCAAGCCCTCCCCACTGGCGCTGTGCTGGCTCCATCCCAGGCACCCTGCGCTGGGTCCTGCCACTAGGACCAGGGCTCACTGGCCTTCTGG